TTGGCCTATATGGTTGTCTTTGAGATGGAAAGAGTAGGGCAGTGTGTCTTATAGAAACCAAATCTAGAGGAGTGAAATTATTGAAATATATTAAAGTGAGCTATGTTGTGACCAAGCTTTTGTGTTTGTTTTGTCTTGCAGAGATCAAACGGTTCACCTTTACGTGGAATTGAGGAGAAGTTTTCATACGTAGTATTGAGACGAGGAAAAGACCGCAGTGAGTATTTTATGCTCAAGCTTTACACTTGCAATTAAATTTAATTACGATATAGTGATATACTACTATAGTTATTTTTGCTCTACTCATTATAGATTTGTTTTTTAAGAAAACTTTGAAAAAGACGATTGGGTACAAGATAAAGTAGTCATTTTTATATGAAGCTTTGCTATTCTACGTTTTCCTATAACTTGCAAAGTGCATACCCAGTAACCATATCCATTTGAGGTGTCTGATATCTTGATCTGTGCCAAGACATCAGACACCTCAAATGGATATGGTTACTGGGTAACAATGGTCCTATATACCCTTGATCATATTGCCAAATTGTTGTTGTTTAGAAAATTTAGTTGCCTCTCGGTCAATCTTTTTGTCGATTGACTGATGTGTCTGTAAAGTTGACTCACCTTAAGGTTTAGTTCTCTTGAACGACAAGTCTTTTCTAATATAACTAGGCCCCTGTGACACTGCTATGTTTTTCATTACTATTTGTAGGCTTTTTGTGCAATCAAAATTGTTCAAATTGGGTTGGTTGTTGCTGTTAGTTACTACACACTTCGTGTCTGACCTGTAGCCATGAAGAGGTGCTATAATAGTGGAATGTATTGCAGACTGTTGTAAATCTTTTATTCACACAGTAAATGCATTAAAAATCAAGATAGGAAAAAGTCCAATCTGAGTTTTACATGTGGCTTTTAAATGGAGGATGTTATTTTGTTATGAAAATTTTAAACCCTAAACAAATGCTTTGATGCAGTTCCCTTATAATTACATCATAGCTTGCAATTCTTGGAAGCTTTCATTCCATTGGTCACATTAGTGGCCGATCTAGTAATGAAATTGAAATCTGTTGGGTAGGGTGACCATATTATTGACAACATAGTGAATTAGGAAACCTAATTTATATGTTCTATACTGAGGTCTTTTACTTGCATTGTCATCAACATTCCAGGATTTCTAAGGACTTTTTCCTTGTGAATTAGACTGATGATTCTCTTTTTTCGAATACTTTATGCTTCTGATCCTTAACTGTATTTTGACTAAATGAACTAATTTGATTTTTTGACCAAATGAACTAAAAATACAAGAGAAAAGTTGTTAAGTGTCACAAAATGAGAATAAAAGCTAAGGGGATGGCGTTGATATAGAACCTAATGCCTCGTCAATCACCCATGATTCGAGACACAAAGAGTTGGCCAGTTTCATATCGAGGGATAAGGCTCAAAGCTGTCAGTCCAATACCGGGAAAACCATATTGTTTTTAAACACATAATAATACTTAAAGTTGTATGGCAGCTAATTAATGATAATGTTCCTATCCTCCTCAATAAATAAATATAGTATAAAATCATATTGTTTTTAAACACATAATAATACTTATCCATAACGCCCAGCTTATTCTGTATTTCTGTTATTAAAAAGCCTTGAACGGCTGTAATGCGAAAGTGTAACCTCCTCTAGAAAAGAATTAGTAGCCTAGTAGGCATGGACTTACAATAGACCTCTCAGCAACCATATGATGTGGCAATCGCCTCAGTGCTCCATCAATATTGTTGCTTTCCTTGTATTGTTCCCGAATCTTTCTACAGCTTCCCTTTGTAAAATCTCAGTCAAGGAAGACTCAGGTTATTTACTATGTACTGTAAATGAAAGAAGTTCACAAGATAAGTCTAGTCAAATATAAAAAATTAATGCAAGGATATCTCCCTCCTTAGGATCAAGAATCATATTAATTGCAGCTCTTAGTCAAATATTTCATCTATTTTCTTTTCTAGATGGGTTAAAAGACATTAATAAGTGAAATTCAACCATGGACTCTTAGTTCTCCATCAGGATCCTTTCAACTAAAATGTGCTAACCAGTTGTGCAAACTATTTCTTTTCTGATAGAATTTTATGTATTAATTTTTGTGTGTGCTCAGTGTTCTAACTTATTCTTGTATTATCTGATATCAGAGAGATCTCCAAAACGAGAAGCAAAAAAGTGTATATGCTAGTTCTGTTAATGAGAAGTTGCTGTATGAATGTTCAATTCTCCAAAAACGGCTTGAAGAATCAAGTGTAAACTTCCTGGTTGAAGAGGAAGACAAATTAGTTCTGGATACTTCACCATCAGATGCTATCGATCTTCTTACCACGTCTGATAATCGAATTGATCTTCTTCTGGCTGAGGTACAATGCCTTTTCATGTTTACTTCATTTTCCGTATTATCTTAATTAAGGTGATCGTTAACACCACCTTCCCTAGGGAACCATTGCTAATCTGGAAAAAATCATAAGCATGCATGGATTTGTTTAGCTTAGAGCAGTAGGATAAATTGTTGCTTTAATCGCTATTGGAAGAACCTATGGTGGTTGTGATATAATTTAAAGTCCCAAAATGCGTGTGCTGAGTTTTTTCCAAGTGATGATTATAATTTATTAGTGGATTGGAAGCCCTAGCACTTCAGAACAGATGAAAATTTATACATATACCCGGGTGCAAGATGCACTAAGGTTTTTTTTTTTTTTTGCTAATTTGATGATTCAAACCATCCTTTAATATAATCATCAAGTTAAGCAAAAGATACCTTGGGTGCACCGTGCTTTGTAAACCCTGGTGTATATAAGAAACTTAACTAGTAAAATGAAAAGACCCTGTTCGCAAAAACAATCAAATTTTTCAGAAGTGGAATTTATTTCATGATTGTATAAACTAATGCAGTACGTGCTACTCCATATTTTGTATGGTTGTATATCCTCGTGTTATGTGCCAGTGAGCTAATATATGGATTCTCTACTATAAATCTGTAACCCTATACTTTTCCCTTTGCCTTCTATTGTCTCTACCTTCTAAGCCTTGCCTTCCCTGACTTTCGTGAGAAATAATGCAGAAGCACAGAAAAGCAGCAGAAATACCTGTAGACCAAAATAGTTGATGAATCCATGCTTTCCCAAGGCATCAGCAGATGCTTTGATAGTGTCTTCAAAATCAACTGCCATACATTATCATGATTTATGCCAGTTTCAAATGAGAATAAAAGCTAAGGATCAGAACTCTCAGAAGCGAGATTTATTAGTGGCTTGCTGAATGAGCTAGTCAAAGATTTATTTTGCCGTCCTTGTTTCTGTTATTGTTGGATATCATGTTATTCCAATTCTAATATGTTGCTATTTATTCATTGTTTTTATATCAATTTAGATATATTGATCTTTTTGCATAAATTATCTTGCAGTGTTATATATAGTACAAGATGACTTATCGAAGCAAGAGAACAAGGGAAATACTTGCTGCCACAGCTAAGTCACAAGATCCAAAATCATCACAGTCACCAAAGACAACTGCATCTAAGTTTCATGATCCACTATCATATGTAAGTGAATTTGCTTCCAAACCAACCAAAAAACAAGTTGTTCAGTCACCACTAGTTGAGGTTCTTAAGAATGATAAGTGGGGGCCATTTTTTCCACTTTATACAACTACAAAATGCACACAACCACACCTAGCAAACTAGGATCTATTTAGAAAAAACCTCCACCTATTGTACCACATTCAAATAAACTCAACTCCCTTAACAACCCTTTAGCTTCCTCTCCTACTTCTCACCCACCACTTCAGCATCCTCAACCTGGGAAGGGAGGTTCTTAGAACCTTGGTACTAGTGCTGTGAAAACTTTGGCATCAACTCCTATTTCTCACCAACCACTTCAGCATCCTCAACCTGGGAAGGGAGGTTCTCAGAACCTTGGTACTAGTGCTGTGAAAACTTCGGCAGCAACTCCTATTTCTCACCAACTACTTCAGCATCCTCAACCTGGGAAGGGAGGTTCTAAGAAAACTTCAGCAGCAACTCCACAGTTTAATCAAACACATCAAAAAAGTGATGAAACTTCCAATGATATCTCGAAAAAAAACTAAGTCTCTACAACCAAAGTCACTTGCCGATTGGCCTGTAGACATAGATTTTGATGATAAGGAGGAGGTTTTGACCATAGGTAATCTTTTTACCTTAATTATTTTTTTTTACTTTATCATTGAGATTCTGTGTGTGGTTACATAAAATAGATGAGTATTAGTTGCATGGTGTTAGTTAAAAGCAAAATTAGTTCTTCAAGAGCCCTAAATCATGTTTTTCAATTAGTAAACTAATGGTTTTTTATTTTATTGTTTTTGTAGACGCCAATGGTAATACTACATTGGTGAGTGGTATAATTCTGCCAATTGACGTTTGGAGCAATAGTGACCTCAAGTACTATGTTGAATTCAATGATCTATGCCAACCGATTAGGAAAGGTGGACATATATTGGTTAATTCATTGGTATGATTGCAAAGATGGAGACTCATTGTCCACTTGGAGAAAAAAATTGGCATGCAATCGACAACCATATAAAAGGAAGGATAGTTACGGATATGAGAGTAAGTACATTGAACACTAGCTTTGCATAAAATATTCTGATCAATTATTAGCTTTTTTCAAGTAAGACCAGTTACAAGTTACTTACAAATTTCATAATGTCTTAATAATTAGGACCACTTTGTGATTCCTAATGGTGTGGAATATGACAACCAAGCTCTCAAGCGTGCCAATAAATTTCTGAAGACAGTTCAGATTCTCTTTGAAAAAAGAGCATTACAAGCCATATGAGAAAACAGTGGAAGAGATGTGTAATCAGGAACCACCGCATGGAATAAGCAGGAACAATTGGGTAAAGTTGGTGAAGTACTGGGATTCAGAGAAAGCGAAAGTAAACAAAATATTCACTACCACTAATATATTAAGTTTTAATTAGTCTTGGTTCAATTATTTGACAAATACTAATTGGTTGAATATGAGTGCAGAATTTGTCTATAGCTGGAAAAAAGCACGAGCCTTCGTAAATCAGCTTCACAGATCTAGCTCTTATAGCTTTGCAAACCAACAAGCTGATTATGTATGGATTAGTTATATATGTGGCCTTTTATTTAACTTAAAAGAGTGTTAGTCTCAAAAAATATAAAATCAAATAAATAACAATATAGATTTGTAGCATAAATAAGCTAATAAAGTACATATAAATGAATATAATTCTTTCTCTTATTCATATACATTGTGTTATTTATGATGCATCTCATTGACATTGTCGATTTCTCTTACAATGCTCTTTTTGTCATTATTGTTAATAGGAAGATGAACATGGAGAAAAAATGAGCTTATTATCTCTTTGGATAAAAGCTCATACGGGTAAGGACGGAAGCTTTCTTCCCGACACCGTCACTGCATATTTTGTGGTATGATTCCTGACATAGTCACTGTAGAAATTATGAATTAATAAAGTTCAAGTCATTGCTCTTGTTGTTGGTTATGCTAGATGGTCTGCTAAATGTGTGGCTCTGTTTTTAATCCCCGTGTTCATTACTTAAACTTGGTACAGGATGATGTAAACGCTAAGGTTGAAGAGTTGAGGATGTTGTATCCTTTGAAGCAGAGCTAAAGACAAAACGAAAGACTGAGCCCAAATAATACACATATAAACATATAGTGTATTTTTAGAAAAATATAAACTTTTTTTATTTTAGTTAAAAATTTAATTATGAATATTTAAAAATCTGATTAAGATCTAAAAATCAAACTAAAAACCAAATCTAATAACATGCATTTGTTTATTTAAGCCCAAAAATAAAAGCCCAGCGTCACATACCTTTAGGCCTTTCATATATAAACTAAAAAAAAAACCTAACTCCTTTAGTTTCTCTCCCCGCACTTCCTGCCTCCCCAAGTCCCCAGCAAGTCCCCATCAGAAAAAACATTACATCTCCATCTCAATACCAACCCAACACCGCTCCACCGACATCCTCATCGTCACCACTAGCCAAGACGCTCAATCATTACACCTCGTCATCGTCTCTCTCTCCATTAGCATGCTTAAATAAGTTAAGAAATTGCTCTGTATCGAATAGCTGATAGGTTATTAATCTTCCAACGACTGCTTAAAAATGTGAAAAAAATGGAAAGCTAAAAGATAAGGTCGAACAAAGTAATTTACTTCTTAAAATGCTTGTTGGACAGTTTTCTGATATTGCCAGATCTTCTTAACAAGACATCTCAATTCCTGGGTATGGCAAACCAACAGGTACTATTATTTTGACAATAAAACTCATATTAGACTTATTATTTTAACAATGAACTGAGGTATTAGGTTTTTGAAGATCTCTCTTGATTAGTTTGAAAATAACACTCATATTAGACTTATTTCAAGGTCGTCTTTATAAGAAACTGGGTAGAAGGTTTCTAAGTCTAGTAAGTTTGTCACAAACATGGAAGTCTCCTATTAGATCTCCCTGCAGCCATTTGATTAGTCTTGAATATGGCGTATATGCCTCTAAGTGCCACAGTATGAGTATATATATATATATATATAGCTTTTCAGTTATCTCTAAGAGAATTTTGTCTGTTGAATTAGATCCCAAATTTGGGATGCAAAACAAAAATAATAGATCAATAGAATTTTGAATCTGTAGAGGAAGTGAAAGTCATACATACGATTGAAACCTAACTGTCAATTATACATGCAGTACTTTTTTTTTGGTAGCTTAGAGTCATAGACTGATTTAGTTGAACCAAGCTTAAATCTTCATCTTTATCCCCTGTTTGGTTCGCAGGATTAGCTAAATGATTCTCTCTCCGGTGATTTTCAATGGTCCTTCCTGTAAATTTTGTCGAGTGATTTAGCAGTGTTTTTTTTTTTTTTTTTTTTTTTTTTTTTTTTTGTGATTATTGATTTAGCATTTGAACTGACTTTCAGTATGTAATGTACTAATGTCGAAGGCTGCAGTCTATTTCACTGATCCTTTCGCATATTATTTACAGCAGCTGGGTTAATTTGAGTTATATATTGTTTCTAGGCTTTTAATGTGTTTTATTCCAACTGGGTTTTCGAAAAAGTTTAGTCATAATATCATTGATTTTTAGTCATAAAGTTTATAAAAAAGCTAAGTTTCATCAGTATGTTTTTTATTTTTTTTAAGGAAAAGTTCATCATCAGTATGTTTAATATTTATATATATGTACTAATTACTTTTTAATTTTATCTTGAAGGTTGAAAAAGATAATTTGATGAATACAGGAGAATAAATTAGGGCGGATATTTGAGCATAAAAAACTAGCGACTACCAAGATATCATCCATCATCATCATCATCGATTTATCAAGTGCAAACTAATTGGGGTTTAGTCTTTGTGTTATTATTATTATTATTATTATTATTATTATTATTATTATTATTATTATTATTATTATTATTATTATTATATTATTATTATTATTTTTAGTTGAGGCTAATTAAAGTTTTTGTTTTTGACGATTATGTACTGTTGCTGATGTTTTTTTTGTAATTATTTTGTTGGATAGTTTAATTAACTATGAACAAATTACAATGTTGACTAATCGCTAGCTAGCTAGCTTTATCTTTTAGTATATATATATTTATTATTATGTTTGAATTATATATATATATATATATATATATATATATATATATATATATATATATATGTCTTTTTTTGATAAATTTATTGTTGTGGTGTTTATTCGATTTACATGCATTGTAATTTTAATTTCGTAAAAAAAAAAATTACTATAAAAAATATTGTGGACGCTTTTATTACGTTAATGACATTTGATTTGCATTTTTTAAAAAAATTCCCGCCAAAGAAAAATTGGATGCTAAAAAGCGTCGCCCAAATCAAAATATATGGTTAGCAAAAGACGTCAAAAGGACATATGGACACCAAGAAGCGTCCACAATCCTATTTATAGTAGACACATAAAAGCGTCGCAAAATTGAAAGATAGCGTGAACCAACCCATTTTTGGACATTCCGTATAATAATTTGGACACCAAAAAGCGTCGTGGCTGTCGACGCTTTTATTCGTCCAAAAAAATTCTCGACTAACTTTTTTTCGACGCTTTTGAAAAGCGTCGAGAATAAAATTTTCGATGCTTTTATACGTCCAAAAAACAGCCTATAAAGCGTCGCAAAAACATGGAAATTGTAGTAGTGATTTACCACCCAAATTATTATAATAATTTATAACAAATCAAAATATTTCATGCCACAAACATATTATCAAACACAATATATACACCAAATCCAATTTTGTATGCTAATTATAAACTTACCTATTGAGAAGTCCAAAACGCTATTGATTTCAAAATTTAGTAAACAATGGAGCACAAACAGCAGCAATCAAGAGAAATAACAAACAGCAATCGATAAAGGTGTAGAATCACCCACAATGCAAAGAACAGCTTCCCAAACAACGGACCCATGACTGAAACCCGCTGTCAATTGCGTTTGAGATGCCTACAACTACTCCTACCAAGTTTATGATCAGAAGGGTTGTGGGTGGGATAAGCAGGGTTGTTTACTTAAACATGTATAGCTCTTATAATCACCGTCTTCATTTGAGGCCTTGGAGGTCACTGTGAAATTGGCGTCGATACCTGCTAGATAGCAGACCTTGACACACTGCAAAACAAAGGGGCAGAAACACCACCGATCACCCAGAATTGCTCGTTTCTCCACCATTCGTCTATGCCCACACCACTCCACCTCATCTCCAATATACCCGTTGAAAAGATGGATAAGAAGAGGGATATAAACCAGATAGTTGCCAGATTTGTGATCTGTCAACCAAAATCGACATTTTATATTCAGAATATCAGATCATAAGTTAAACTTTGTGTAGATGTTAGCATTATTAACAATATAAACTCGAGTCAATAGTTTGATCCCAAATGGGTATGGTATTGGTTTGACCAGTCCTACCTATGCTGCCTCTTCTTTAATCTTTACTGAGGTTGAAACAGCAGCAACAATATCTTATAAGAAATCCAATCTACCAATTTTTTCACCAAAATGTTATTGTGAGAAATAGCCATTGACTCAGTGAGATTAAATGCAGCCACCCAACTGCAAAGAGAAATAACAGGAAGGCAAAAGAGAATGCAAAGTAGTTAGGAAAACATGAAGTTGAGATTTCAAAGAGTTCAGAAGGGGAGGGGAGTTTAATGATAAAAAGGTTTCATTTCAGGACAACGTGATTGTACCAGTATAGCTTCCATCTCAGCACTTGATACTAGTGTTCGCTTGGGTTGGTCAGAAGCCTTCCCAGAGGCAGACAAGGAGGAGTTGCTGGAAGCTGACCTCAATAGGAATGCCTTCAAAGCATCATTTGTTGATGAGGAAGAGGATTTTGGCAAAGAGGAGAGGGGAAAAAAGGCAGATAAGATAAGTTAGGGGTTGAAAATTAACAGAGCAATAATTATCCAAAAGTTTAAAGTCAGCCAATAAGTTGAACATAAGTAGTCAAACCTTAAAATTTTCTAAACCATAAGACTATTGCTTAGCACATCCTTTCAAACAATATCAATAGGAACAAGGTAGCCGGACTTAGATTAGATTTTAGTACTAAAATTTAAGTATAAATAGAGGCTAGCAAGAAAGACAGCACTAATCGAAGAATCATTCTCAATATCATCACTGAGATAAATAACAGCAAAGTAAGAAACTTGTATTCAGAGAGTAAAGGCGGATATTATAGATCAAACATCAAAATAGGAGGTTAAGAGCTTAAGATAGAAACTGGATCACAAAACTAACTTCAAGGATAAACTATAGCTTATAGATTCCTTTAGACTTTGCAATGGCCTAGTGGTCAAGGCCTAAATGCTAGAGTCTGAACTGCCAAGTCCCAGGACAGTTTGTAGATATAAAATTTTTGTACTATGTAAACAAACTGACTAATGCAGCTTCCATCAAAGATTCAAAGTTACACTCTTCAAATTAACTTGAAAATGACTACTGTAGACACCCATTTGTGTCTAACCAAAACCAAACCCCGTGATGAATACCTTTCACGTCTAATCATAATCGAATGAAGTGAAAGTGTGGAAAGTTTAGTGTTGCGGTTAGTTTTTAATTTTCTTCTTTCTCTCTGTTTTCGAAAACCTATTTTATGAAAATAGCCAATCCAGTTTAGTTTGGTCCATGAAAAGGGTCCAATAGTAGTGTAGTTGGATTGGGCTCGAAAAGAGCTTTCCAATGATATATTATAAGCCCAATTCCGATGAATAATGAGGAAATTATGGCCAAATTACTAAAATGGGCCCGGTTGGTTCTTACATACGGCCCAATGATCTAGAGGAGGGCCTATTATTAATTATCATTCCTAAAGATATTAGGATTGATTATAGTTTTCTAGAATACTCTAGAAGGTTCTTTTGAAACCTAATAGAGTTAGGATTGATAATTATGTTTCAAAGAGTTTGTAATTGAATAAAACTACTCCTTTTGAGAATCCTTGTTTTGTACGAGATGGAATATGTTCAAATATTATTTTCGTGCCTCATAATATTTATCCAAATCTTATATGGTTGGATAGATTTTGAAATTATCTTTCCAATGATATATTATAATATTAAATCTAATCTATAACGAAAAAGATATGAATGGAATACGAAACTCTATCCAAAACTAACACCCTTCCACTATTTCAGCCATATCTTTTTATCTACAAAAGATATTAATCTGATTCCAATTGGTTTAGAAATTAAACTTCAAGAGATTTCCAATGAAATATTATATTCCTTATTTGGATTTGTGGATCAAAAGATATGATAAAAACAAAATCCACAAAAACTGTCTTGCAGCGCCAGATGACAAGCCTGTCGCGCGGCGACAGACTCTGTCACACGGCGACAAGCCCTGTCGCGCGACGACAAGTGCAGTTGTGGCGACAACGTTGTATTTTATTCCTCTTCAAACTCCGATTCTTTTTTATCAAATCCGAACTATTTTCATTATAATTAGCGTCATTAGAACTCCGTTTTTTAATCAACTCTCAACCAAAACTCTCTAATTCTCTTCTCTCTCTAAGCTAAACCTTATTCTCTCTCTCCCTCTTTCTAAGCCTAGCCTTTTACAAACACAATTCCTCATACATTAGCACTAGACACACCTAGCATAGTTCGAAGTTGTCTTCGCCCTAGACGTGAAAGGTTTGATATTTATGAGGGTTTGGTCCCAAATCTAGTCTAAACTTTCTTAATTCTTTCTTTCAATTATTTAATTTAATTGTTTGATTTTATATTTTCCTTGAAGTTACTAACGTGTGTATTTAGTTATTAGAAAGAGGTACGAGGTATCCAGTTAAGTACTTTAATTGTTTAATTGATATTATGATATAGAAATCATGTTTAGGTTGTTATTTTGATTCCTAGTATCATGTTAGGATGCTTTTCTTAGTATGATGTTTAGGGTGACAACAATAAGTTCCTTATATCAATTATGATTTCTATAATGCTTCCTATTTTCTTTCCTAATAGCATGTTAGTATCATGTTAGGGCTAAAGCTTTGATCTTTTATTGTTTAGTAACATGCTAGGGTTTGTTATTAATCTTGTTAGTATCATGCCTAGGATCTTGCTATTATTATGCTTTAACATGATTATTTTAATTATTATGATTGTTATAATTGTTATAATTATGATTATTATTGTTGCTTGATATTTATATTATTATTGTTATTGCTTGATCACACCTTTTATGCATGTTTAAAGGGAACTTGTACTTGTAATCACGCTTAATAAGATATTTAATAATCTTGTTTAGGTTAATTTGATTATAATTCAAGTAGTCGCCAATAATAGATTTATTTGTGCATTAGTATTCAACCAACATAGATAAACAGCTTTAGGGTTAACCTATTGATTGCATGTTAGTCAGAAAGCGCACATGAATACGAGAAGAATAAAGTAGAGGCTTATTATTAGGGCAGGTTCTTTCTCTTTTAGATTGGATTTGTACGTTCATCCTTGAACTTTTAGTCTTGGTTCCAGACCTATTGGAGTTAACGATCTCCAGGATTGTTAAGGAGTGTAACCTTCACCCTGTGAACGGTTTACAAGTTCCTAAAACTTGTTGGAGACTCTTTTGCTCTAGCTTCCTTCTCTTTGGACGCCACCGTACTTTAGTGTATGATTACAGTGGGGTTCAAGTTTGGGGTAATGCTTGAAATATTCCCTACAACTACCAACACTAAACAAAACCTTTTAGTACCTCAGCTCCTAACCTTTAAGATTAATAGGTGCAAAACCTTTGAAGTCAGGGCACTTTGGCATAGTGTAAATTGATCGCTAACCACCAGCATTCATCTTAAAACCCGTCAGAATATCTTCTGCCACTGAACCATAGATTCATCTAATCTGCATTTCAAGACAAAAGTTAGTGATCCCAGTCCAGGAAAAATATCAAACAAAGGCAATAAACCTTCCAAGTTTATTGTTGCTCATATCTTTGAGGTACAACCATAGACATCCCAATATGAAAGCAGATATATGAGACTTCAGACCTACAGTCATCAAGTTCGTAGACAACCATATCCAAAACTCAAGTTCGTAAATAATCCTATATACCGCTGTGTTTAAAAGGAGTGACCCATTTCCACAGATCATCCACATAAGGAAATATATACGTGTGTGTATAACTTCCTAGCATTATAAACAAGAAACAACCAAACATCCTTTATTAGCCATCAATCCCTTTGCGCACAAGAATTCACCCAAACAAAACACAAAGGACCACAAATTAGCAATAATGCAGACCTGAGTTAACAATGTTTCTTGCTCATTTCAGTCCCATCAACTAGAAGACTAATGATCATATGATGATACTTTTTCTAGCCTAATGTGCACGACATTATGATTAAATGAATGATCAAGTCATTGAATGACCAATACCAATATGTTAAACTTTCATAATTCAATCACGAAGTCGAGCATCCAAAACAATTCGATACGTGATTCCATTAACTACCCTCACCCTTATTCCGAAGCATATAAATTTACTCTCTCACCCACTTATTCACCCCTTGAAATAGAGTTTCGGAAAATAAAACCGTACTCCTGAAATAAAGGCTTCTCAAAATTCTTATGTTTGCACCCAAATATTGCTACTAAACAATAGTGTATAATACTCATTAGCAGTTCTAGTACCATACAAATTCAAAGTAATCAACGACAGCATATATATATATATATATATATATATATATATATATATATATATATATATATATATATATATATATATATATATATATATATATGGATTTGTATGTATATATATATATATACACACATACAAATCCAAATCAATTTACACTAAAATTCAAGCAAAAGACATACGAGTATGACAAGGATAGAAATAATCGCAACATAGACTAACCCAAATAAACAAGAAGCCGTTCCTCATCAATCCCTTGAAAGCACAATCAAAGATACAATCAACGTTACCCTTACATATATATTGATCTTCCACTACATATTTCATTTGGAAATGACCCACTAAGCTTATTTACTGAAGCATCAAAAGACACCAAATTTACAAATGAAGCACCAAGTTTTTTGGGAAGCTCACCTGTTAGATTATTTTGAGAAAGATCAAGAACTTTTAAGGTACTTAATCCCAAAAAGGTTTCAGGAAAATCCCCAAAAAAAACCCCAGAATTTTGCAGAAAAATCTGCTCAAGCTTTTTCAGATTTCCAATTTCACTGGGAATCTTACTCACATGATTACTTGTTGATCCTCGTTCCTAGTGTTTTATTACCAATTTTGCAGAAAAATCTTACTCACTAAATAGGTTGCGGCAGATTTGCAGGGCCAACTTTGGAAGGCTGTAACTCACAATCTAGGAATCGTATGAAGGCGTGCGACCTATTATTGGAAAGCTCTTCAAGTCTAGTTTCCAATCCAACTTGAATCACCTCAATCCAATCTTTAGAACCCGAGATATGGCCGAAACAATGCACAAAGGTCCTTTTTGATACTTTGCAAGCCTTCATTTTCCTTTATTTCTTGGATTGGCTTGACTTGCGTGCTTGGCTTCCCTAACTTGGCTCCGTTAAATTCCTTGAATGCACTTGAGCTCCCTCATTGATGATTAAATCCCGGGAAGCTCGACACACCTACAAAAAAAGTCAAACAAACGGAGAAGCGAGGGAAATAGTCGAGAAATGAATAAAATAATAAGAAAACCATTAAAAGCACGCATTTGTCTAAACTAACACACAAACACGCAAATCAAGCATTATTCCCTAAAAACACGACATAAAATACTAAAAACGAGCATAGAAATATAAAGAAAACATAGCCTAAAGGTGCCATAAATGGCACGGATCAAATTCCCCCAAGTCAAAATTTTGCTCGTCCTCGAGTAAAACAAAATCCAACCCAAGGGAAAAATGAAGACATTATTCAAGCAATGAAAGAATCAAGAAAATTACAGAAGATGAGAATATACACTAACTCACTTT